CGCGCTCGCTCCCGTCGCGGGCGGGCGGAAGACTACAATTCCCAGCATGCCCAGCGAGAGGAAAGCGCGGCGGCCTCACGTGACCGCTCACTATGGCTTCCCTGTGCCGGGGCCAGCGGGCCGGCGCCTTGGTGTGATTTGTTAGTTCTTGGCGGCAGGCTACCTCTCTCACGATTTCGACATGCAAAAAATCAAATCGCTTATGACCCGACAGGTAAGTCGCGGAGGCCGAGCAAAGGCCGCCTGCATCTCCGCTGGCGGAGCAGCCGAGACGTCCTGCCCCTGGGCCGCGGCGTGCGGACACCTGAGTTATAGGTGGTGGCAGGTGTCTGGGATACCGGAAGCCGCTGCACACCCCGAAAAGCTCACCTAAGTACCCCCCAGATCAGAGCCCTGAGGGTAGCGGCGTCCCAGCAACATTTCTTTAGATGAGGTCAAGGAGGGGAGTCGGCGCTGCCTTCGTCCCCCTCTTCCCGTACGTGCCGTTTCCCCACTGACAGCCCCAGCCGCCGGCCGGGGCGCCCCTGTCCCCAGCCGGCTGTCGCCTCGGAGCAGGTGGCTTGGTGAGGGAGGTGAGATCTGTGCCATAGAGGTGACCTGGAAAGAGTGAAAACAGCGGATAATTTGATGACAGAATTGGCAGCTTTACGACTTTTGGCAAGTCCCCAAACCTTGTGGTAGCTTCAAGTCTCTGGAAATGAGGATGGTTTTTGTGAATTCCATCTCACAGTTCTGTTCGGAGGGTCATCGGTACGCTAATGCATGTGAAAATTCTTTGTGCAGTGCTACTTTTTATCATTGTCCTGGCAAAATAAAAGTCTTATTTTTTTCTTTTTGTCAGAATGATAATTCATGCATAAAACCTGGCAGTTTTCTATCCCATCTCATAAATGTTGGGGACTTCCTAATAATGCCTCAGTTTCCTTCAAGCAGGAAGTGGGAGAAATTTCCCTTTCTTATTGCTCATGGCTTGGTTTTAGATAGCTTTATCTATTTCAACTTAATATTACACTAGAACTGGCCATTATTCATTCTTTCAATATGAGAAGAATATTTTGGATTAGATTTTTCAGTCAATGTGGTTTTGAGAACTGTGGAGAATGTGGAGGATAATCATTTAATGAAAGGTTCATTTGTGGCTTTTTTGTTGTTGTTGAATATAAAAAGAATACAAATTCCAGATTAAATTCTTATTTGAGAGACACCCGAACAGGTTACCATTTGTAGATTTCTGGGGAACAATACATGATTAGTTTACTCCTGTCAAATAAGATTGTTAATGTCACGAGCATAGAATAAGAAAGTTTTACAACTAACACAAGATCTCAGTAAGCAGGTAGTGGCATTTGGCAATCCTTCACATTTGTTGAGTACTGTTGTTATGCTTCAGACCATTTCTTACCTGTGAATGAGTTCGGGTCCTGCTTCATTCAGTTGCTCATTAGACATGACCAGGTGAAATCTGTTCTTAGAATGAAAAGAAGTTAGAGAACACATATGAAAAGCTACAACTATCCTATGTAAAAAGTGAGGCAAAATTAAGAGTTTTAAAGTCATCCTAATTATGTATGTTTAAAGCTCGGCTTCCACATATTTGATCATTAGTAATACACAATTCATGAACCTGTGAGGTATAAAAAAGTAGGGTGCTACCTAAAGTTACAAGGGGGATTTTATTCAGTACTGTTTATTATTAGATTAAATGGGGCAGTATTACAAATAAATATACACAAAGCTGTTTCTTTTTTGTGAAGCTACAGAACATGATGGTAATATTTTGTTCATGGGGAGAAATGTGAAATTAAGGTCTCTGAAACTTGGGTTTTTGGCACATCAGCTCCCCCAGGACCTTGGTATGGCATAGAGTGGGAGAGCAGGCTTTGTTTGATCCCTTTGTTTAGGCAAGCTCTGCTGTTCAGCTTTCTTGATTATGCTGGCCCCTGTTCTTTCAGTTCATTCACCAAATGTCTGCTGAGTGCTGCGTGCCAGGCACTGCTTTAAGTTTGGAGGATGCGGCAGTGAACCAAACAGACAAGGGCTAAGGCAGACATGGTGATAACTGTTCTGGAGCGAAAGAGGCCAAGGAGTCCTGGGAGCTGTTGGCAATTTGGGTCATTTATAATTTTAGATAGGGTGCTATGGAAGGCCTGCCTGAGAGGGCCACATTTGAGTAAAAAACCTGAGGGAGGTGAGGAAATAAACCACGTGGGGTATCTGGGAAGGAGCATTCCAGGTGGAAGGAAAAGCAAATGCAGAGGCCCTGAGGCAGGAGCTTGTTTGGAGGTGAGGTCAGGATAAGGTCAGAGAGCTGAGAGCAGGAATCCAGATCCCATAGAACCTCAGCCTGACCTTGTCTCCTACATTTCTCCTCCCTCATAGCCTCTGTTTTGATTGAAATAGCAAGCAGAGGAGGACTGTAATTTTACATATACTTCAGAAAGATCTTTCTGGCCTGTGTTTTAAGAATACAGTCATACCTCATTTATTACACTTTGCTTTATTGCACAGGTGTTGTGTTTTTTACAAATTGAAGGCAAGATCCTCCACCAGCAAAAAGATTATGACTCACTGTATTGTGATTTATTGTGGTGGTCTGGAACTGAACCCACAATATGTGTGAGATATGTGTATAGACTGAAACAGGTAAATGAGCAAAAAAGCAGGGGGACCAATAAGGATGCTCTTGCTGTATTCCAAGTGATAGAGGGTGTGGACCTTGACCAGGGTGCTAGAGGTGAAAGTGTTGAGAAAAGGTTGGATTGTGGATATGTTGTACATGTGGAGTTGACAGGATTTTTTGACAGATTGGATTTGGTTGTGAGAGAAAGAGAAGCATCAAGGTTGACTCCAAATGGTTTGGTCCCAGCAGTTAGAAGAATGGAACTGCCGTTTAATGAAGGGTAAGGCTGAGGGAGGAGAAGATTGAGGGAAGGGAGGTTTTTAGACTCATTCATTTAAAAGCCTCTTAGATATTTGAGTGGAGAGATAAAGTAGGCAATTGGCTAAAAGAGTGAATTTCTGAGGGGAAATCCAGGGTACAGATAAAAATTTGGGAGCTACGAGCATATAGAAGGTATATAAACTGGCCAAGATCACCAACAGAGTGAGTGTAGATATAAAACAAGAGTCCACAGTTGGAGCTTTTGAGGATTCAGTGTTACAAGGTCAGGAGAAAGAAGTGGATCTAGCAAATCAGATTGCAAAAGAGCAGCCAGTGAGCTAAGAAGTCTGCAGCATCCCAACGAGCACCTGTCCCATAACAGATGCTTAATAAATATTTGTTAGATGGATGTTGGATAAAGAGGGCAACCCAGTAGAGTGGGCCCTGGAGGCCAAGTAAAGAATTTAAACAAGGAGGGAGTGATCAGCTGGGTTAAATGCTGCAGAAGGGCCACGTAAGGCAAAAATAAGAATCTGCCTTTGGACTGAGCAGCATGGAGGTCATCGATTACTTGACAACAGCACTTACTGTGAAGTGGTGGGGAAGAAAGTCTGATTAGGGCGAGTTGGAGAGAAACTGAGGACTGGGTTTAAGCACTGTTGAGTTTTGCTGAAAGGAGGAAACACATAATCACACATCTTCCTTTTGATCATTGGGATATAAGTTGCTGGTCTCATAAATAGAAATTGAGGATTCATGTAGATATAACGGAAGTACTCTGAAATGTAAGTCTGATTTGGGTAAAAAATAAAGTGCAGAGGCAAGTGTTATCTGTGCTGAATTTTATATAAATTTAAATGGGGAAATTATCAAAACAAAAACCAAATATAAAAGAAAGTCAAGTAATGGTTAATGATTACAGTGAAAGTTTCAGTTTAATAAAGGCAGAATACTACAGTTATAACCATGACTTTCTGCTTTAGAGGTGAAAATAAAATAAAAATGATGACTTTATATTTGTTAGTAGAAATTTATAAAATTGCAAATCAAAGCTTTCAAGATCTGTAATCCTAAAGTACAGGAGAGGGTCAGATGTTGTGCTTGAGATATTTGTGTAATTTTTCTTCTCTGTTTTGATAAGATAAAAGGAAACCATTTCTCTCTGATGACAACAATATTTAGAATAATGATTAACACTTAAAGAATGCTTGCCCTGCCCTGGCCAGCGTGGCTCAGTTAGTTGGGTGTCATCCCATGCACGCCAAAGATTGCCTGTTTAATTCCTGGTCAGGGCATATGCCTGGGTTGTGAGCGCAATCCCTGGTAGCAGGTGTGCAGGAGGCAGCTGATAAGTGTTTTGCTCTCACATCGATGTTTCTCTCTCTCCCTCTCCCTTCTCCCCCTCTATCAATTTAAAAAAATTAAAAGAAAGAATGCTTGCCATGTACCAGACTGTTTTTGGACTTTCATGTACATTATCTCCTTTGCTCCTTATAATAGTCTATGAGTTAGTGTCACCAACCTTAGAATAAAAAACAGGTAGGTTATGTAAGTTGTTCAAGGCCACAGAGCCCATGCCTTGAATCACTGCACTCCCCTGCTTCCTAACATGTACATAGCATTTACAGTTTTTATTATTTTCTGTACATTTGGTGGAAAGTTGCCATATTTTAGTGGCAAATTATTGTATGTGGTGACTAATTTGGAAGTAAGGCCTTTTTTGAGATAATGATATATGTCACTTGTTTATATTTTAGGCACTGGTTTCTTTACCCAGTAGCTCTGGGGAAAGAGAAAATTACATGTGATACATTCCCCCAAGGATTACTGTTAGATTGGTTAAACAGATTTATACTTTTTAAAATGTTAGTTTAAAAGGCATGGCAATTATATTTAAAAATATATTTTAAGGATGGTTGTGATTTTGAATCAAATTAGGAAACTGTATTCTCTTACATGTGTATGTATATATGTGCATGTGTATAATATGTAGAAGTTTAGTCCTCTAACCCGACCTTGCCTTCTCTACGACTTTTGATGCCTGGCCCTCAGAGCGACTGTTGGTGAGAAATTGGGACAAGGAGAACAAACGCGCAAGAGTAGTTACATACTTTCATTTCCTCATGCATTGTAAGACAGGAAACCTCAGTATGCATCTCTTATTCCAGCAAACTTCCCTGAAAACTTCATTTTAAAGTCAACCACATGTTCCCATGGGAACAATGTTATAATTAGTTGGTGAGTGGAGCCTGACCAAGGACTTCTGCTGAATAATTTACTCATTTCTTTGGTGTTTACTCTGTCCCTGTAACTTTGCTAGCTACTGGGCTATAGAGGCAAATAACACTTGTTGTCTTCCTTCTCTTGGGACTTTAGTCTGGGAGAGAAAGAGATATATTTAATATTTAAAACTTCACTACTTTGGCAGAAGTGTTGTGTTGGAAAATGTCTAGTGGGATTTATAAAACAGTGATTATATGAATCACCTGGGTCACTTGTTAAAGTGCAGTTCCTGGCCCCAATCCAGAAATACCTATTCATTGGATCTGTAGTGGGGCCCAGGAATCTTTTCTTTAAAAAATTCCCTGGTGGTATTGATGGAGGTGATTCTCGGACAATACCGAGAAATAGTGTGTTCTTTGAAGCATAGGGATTTAGCAAGACTGCATGGAGGAGTTAATTCTGAAAGGAAGTATTGGTTTCTTTAGAAGGTGTTGTATGTGTGTGTGTGTGTGAGAGAGAGAGAGAGAGAGAGAGAAGAAGAGAGAGAGAGGAAGAGAGAAAGAGGAGGGGGACAGAGAAAGAGAGTGAGAGATAAGGCTGGGTGGAGTATTCTGTGGGTAATGGAAGACTTGAGGGTGAGGCAGAGCACCTTGTCATAAAAATTGTACACATGGCATAGTATTTTACAATAGGGAAGATATCATACACACCTCTAAAATTTAAAAATAAGCAAGTTCTGCTCTAAGTCTCAAATAGTCAACCTAAATGTACAGTATATTTTGATTATTAAGAGTATCAAAGGGCCAATAAAAGGTACCTGAAGGACAAAAACTTGACTGTAGCCTAAGCCTCTCCTCAAATTCATGTACCAGCTAATTTTGCTTATAGACTAACATTATAGGGACTTTAGGTGTCTGCTTTGAATAGCCTATTTTTAAAGAAAGGCTCTTAAAGAAAATTTAAATTGCTAACGTCTTTCTGTCTTGATAATTTTTATCTGGCACAAATGAGACCTTCAGAATCCCTCAGTTGATGTGAATATAGAAAGTACCAGGTACCAAAGAGGTAAAGAATTGGTAGAAAGCAATATAAATTGGATGCATTGGTGAGAAAGAATCAGGTAAAAATCAAAGGATTACTTACATATTAATTAAGCAATTAGTATTATTTTAAAATCTTTGATTTGCTTGGTTGGTATATTAAAGTCTGTGAATCCTAATACTTTGACCATTTTACCAGGTGAATTTGGTAATAATTAATAGATAAGTGCTTTTATAGAATGCTTTTTGTCACTCAAGTGTTTTTCTTTTGGTTATTTTAAAATCATAGTTAAATTAGACTTCAACCATTAGTTTTGATGTGCCATATGATACTTTTATTTTAACTACCAAAGTGCATCTTTACTTGATGGAATAATAGTACTATGTGTATTAAATGCCAGTTGTTTTTAGAACATAGGTTCCATATATTTCAAAGCAGGAAAATTTCTATTTTTAAAATGGTGATTTCTATTTTAATAGGTATGTTCTATCATATTATAGTTCTGCAGCACAATTAAAGTTCTTTCTATCTTATTTTTTTTAAGGGTCTGAAAAGTCCTCCAGAGAGCCTTAGTGATCTTGGTGCCATTGAGAGTCTCCGAGTCCCTGGAAAGGTATTGATCTACATGTGTAGCATGACTTTTCCCTTCCTTAAGAAAATATTATTGTCTTTGGATAATAATTGATTCACAGATACTTTTCCTTCCCACAGTCAGATGATTGTTATGATAAGCTAGGTAAATTTTTATAGTACAGGAGGCTTGGGACTTGTTTTTGCTTTCATTACTCATTGGGATGCAGTATAATTCATTATAGTTAAGCAGAAAATGTGAAGTTGATAAATTTAGAGTTTAATGTTGTATCAAATTCTTAGCCTGAAAGCAGTTATATATATATGTGAAACTTATTGATTTATCTGCTGTAATTGGAGAAATAAAATGAAATAATATACTTTATGCTGTAACACTGTGGGTCAAAAAATCATAATTATGTTTTTGTTACAGAACAGGGATTTTTGAATAAGTAGCTAAAGCATAACTTATACTAAATTGCAGATATCTTAGATTTTAATCCTCAGATATTCATGTGAGCTTCTCAGTTTACAAATTTAATAGGTGTTATTTGAAAGCTAGCTGGCTTCCCCTCAGGAGAATTATTAACCATTGTTAAGTAAATAAATCCCTGCTGGTTCTCACTGTGGGTCCTTGCCACTTGGAGCTGCCTCTGTGAGTAGCAGCGCCATCACAGATTAAAGCTTGTTCTTCTGAATGTACGCTCTTGTGATTTTCAATTTGAGGATCATATTTGAAACTACTGCTTGTTTTCTGTGGCTGGCATTGACAATGAGAAGGACTCATATCACACCTCAGTGTCAGCTGCTTAAGAGGATAATTTCCCACCTCCTTACCCCCCAAAGTGAATTTTGTATTTACTGCTTAGTCTTTTTTTTTCGGTCAGACCCAAACATACTCTCCAAATATGATAACATTCTAGCCAACCATTTTGCATTAGGTGGCTCAGACAAAACCTTAGAGAGGCATTTTGAATGGTTTTATATAGTATGATAAAATTGGGAAGTAAGAGATAACCATAGTTCCTAATTGACAAATAAATCTCTTTATTTCTTTGACTTAAGAAAAAAATATTATCATGTATTATGAACACACCTTGAATTAGATTGCCTTAGATATTTCAGAATTAATATAAAATTGATAATAGAGCCTCTTTAAAAAACACATGCCTGGCCCTGGCCAGTTTGGCTCTGGTTAGAGCGTTGGCCCTCAGACTGAAGGGTCCCGGGTTCAATTCTGGCCAAAGGCAATTACCTGGGTTGCAGGCTTGATCCCTGGCCCTGGTCAGGGCGCATGTGGGAGGCAACCAATTGAGTATCTCTCTCACATCTATGTTTCTCTCTCTCTCTTCCCCCCTTCCATTCTCTCTAAATAGCAATGGAAAAAATATCCTCGGGTGAGGGTTCAAAAAACAAACAAAAAACACATGCCTGTGTTGCATTAGAACTTTCTGTTGTCTTTAAACCATGAGCCGTGATGTTTTTCCAGTGGTGGTAGCAAGTGAATTTGTGATGCTTTCATTTCATGGCCTTCTTACTGAGTTCCCACCCTAGCCCAGTCAGCAACCAGTGGTGTGTACTTTTCAGATGACTGGCACTGGGTAGAGAGACAAGTCTGGGAACACAAGGTCAATAAATGTAAATGAGTAGGTGAAGGTTAAGCCTGGGCATTGGTCTCATTGACATATACTAAGAAGCTAAGTTAGTTAAATTGTAGAAGTTAATAGTAAAATCGGTATTAATGCTCTAAGCTTATATTTAGCCTTACGCTGAGAAAGCCTTGTAAGCTTCCTGTGCCTGTTTGTTCTCTCCTGAAACATCACAAGTGTTGCAGCGTGAGCCAGACTGCTGCCTTCTACTCTAGGTAGTTTTGGGAACGTCAAAGTTGTTGAGTGGCAAAGCTCTAGTTAGTAGACTAAGTTTGATATGGGTGCAGTTTGCAGTCAGTCCTGAAATTAAGAGTTAAGAGGACTCATGTTCAAAAATTTCCTACACAGCATAGTGTGGGCTAGGGGAAATTTTTCCCTTTTCCATCTTAATTCTTTTGGCTGGTCTAGTAATCAAATTTACTTGATACTAATGGGAGAAACAATCAAATTTATTATGTATGTACCTACAGGGTTCCATAAGAATGTGGGACTAGAGGACGAATGGGGCTGTTGAAGCTTATATGCCATCCTGAGCTAAAGAGAAAGGGGAAGTAGTGGTTTGGGACTTCAGTCAGCAGGAAGTAATTCACATTGGGATAGAAAAGCAGATGTTTGGTAACCAAATGTTTGCTGGGCCATCTTTAACAGAGGGACACAGAGATGACTTTGGTCAAATGGATCTTGCTAATTTCCTCCCTGTGTTTCACATTTAGTTCATATTAAACTTAGTCACCTATAATGATAACTCCCTTCCTTAAGCAGGCCCTCTGTTTATATTCTTTTAGGCAGTTAGGAGGAAAGTCAAAGTTTCTTTTTGACTTTTTCTTACTGACTGGCTATTTTGAGCCAGAACTTGCTCGTGCAACCGGCTACTTTTCTGTCATGACTGATTAGCAAGGTGTTTAAAGTTACTTAAATTAATGTTAAGTGCAGACAAGAGTTAACTCATGACCAGTCAGCAACATTTGGACATGGAAACACATGTATACTCGAGACTGGTCAGCAAGGTGTTAAAAATGACCAGCTTAAAATAATCAATATCCCAAAAGACATGTTTTAGGGTAGCAAACTCTGCTCCCCCTCAATAGCTTGGTATAACTTGAATGTTGAGTATTTTTCATAACTTATGTGTTACCGTATCGTTAGGTCATACCTATATATTTTTAATTAAAAAATTTTTAAATTAATCCCCTGAACTTATCTTATAACTGGAAGTTTGTACTCTTTGACCAACATCTCCTCATTTCCCCCATCCCCAAGCCCTGGTACCCACCATTCTGGACTCTGTTTCTATGAGTTTTTCCCCCACCCCCAAGCCCTGGTACCCACCATTCTGGACTCTCTTTCTATGAGTTTTGCTTTTTTAGATTCCACATATAAGTGATATCATACAGTATTTGTCTTTCTCTGTCTGACTTATTTCACTTCATAATGCATTCTCCATCCATGTTGTTGCAAATGGCAGGATTTCCTTCTTTCTCATGGCTGAATACTACTATTTGTGTGTGTGTGTGTGTGTGTGTGTGTGTGTGTGTGTGTGTGTGTGTGTGTGTGTGTCCATTCATCCACTGACTTAAATTTAGGTTATTTCCATATCTTGGCTGTTGTGAATAATGCTGCAATGAAAATGGGAGTGTAGGTATCTCTTCAAGATCCTATTTTAATTTTTTTATTATATACCCAAAACAGGCATTGCTGGGTTGTATGGTATTATATTTCTAATTTTTTGAGGAACCTTTATACTGTTTCTCATGGTGGTTGCACCAGTTTACAATCCCACCAATAGTGGACAAGGGTTTCCTTTTCTTCACACCCTGGCCAACACTTATCTCTTGTTTTTTTGATAATATCCATTTTAACAGGTGTGAGTTGTGAGGTACTGTTTTTCTGTGGTTTTGATTTGCATTTCCTTGATGATTAGTGATGATATATATATGAAATGATTTATATTTATGTAATTGCTTTAAAATTAATGTTCTTGATCTGAACTATAATGGCTTATAAAAGATCTTTAAGGTTTCAAATTATTAAAAGCACTTCAACAAAATATAAAATATTAATTGAAAGTTATTATTTTAAAATAACCTTTTCCTTTAATAAAAAAAAGTAATATATACTGTGAACAAAGAACATCAGAAAAAGTACCAAAAAGAAAGTCACAAAAATCACCCACACAGTCAAGGTTAACATTGTCTCCTGATCTTTTCCCTGTGCATATTCAGTAAATTTGTTGAGCATCTACTCTGTGCTATATTCTCTAGGGACTGGCAATAATACAGCAGTGGCAAAGACAAAAGTCTTTTCCAAAAAACAAAAATCCTTTGTTGTCAGGAAGCTTACTTAGGTTCAAGTAGAGGGAAGACAGTAAACGGTGATTGCAGATTATGACAAACACTATGAAGAAAATAGTGTGAAGCTGGGGGTTATTTTGCATGAAGTAGTCAGTGTGGGTTCTTCCCTCCTTTTTTTTCTTTTGCAAAAATGGTGTTACACAATATTTTGAAGCTTGGGTTTTAAACAATAAAATGTATTGCACAGAAAATGCCTACGGTATATATATGTTTAAAAAGCAAGCCACCCAATAGTGACGCTTAGGTAGGTATTTTTTTTAACTTAATAATAGTTTATGCCTGTTAGAATGGCTGGTATAAAAAAGACAAGAAATAAGTGTTGGCAAGGATGTGGAGAAAAGGGATTCCTTGTGCACTGCTGGTCGGAATGTAACTTGGTGTAGCCACTATTGAAAAACATTNGCAAGGATGTGGAGAAAAGGGATTCCTTGTGCACTGCTGGTCGGAATGTAACTTGGTATAGCCACTATTGAAAAACATTATGGAGGTTCCTCAAAAAATTAAAAATAGAGCTACCATATGATCCAGCAATTCCATTTCTAGGTGTCTATCTGAAGGAAATGAAAACACTATATCCCCTTGTTCATTGTAGCAGTTTACAATAGCCAAGATATGTATACAACCTAAGTGTCCATTGATGGGTGAGTGGATTGAAAATGTGTATATATGCATACACGACGGAGTATTTTTCAGCCATAAAAAAAAGAATAAAATCCTGCCATTTTGACAATATGGGTAGACCTCAAGGGCATTGTGCCAAATGAAATAAGTCAGACAGAGAAAGACAGATACTGTATGATTTCACTTATATGTGGCATATAACAACGAAACCCAAAAAACCCACGCTCATAGATACAGAGAACAGATTGGTGGTTGCCAGAGATGGGGAGCAGAGGATGGGCGAAATGGGATATGGGTGGAGGGAGTCAAAAGTTGCAAATTCCAGTTATAAAATAAATAAGGGGATGTAATGTACATTATGGTACCTATAGTTAATAATACTGTATTGCATATTTGAAAGTTGCTAAGAGAGTAGATCTTAA